TTATAAATCTTAGTAATTAAAAATATCAACACATCTGCCATTGATGTTGCACAATGTGGTTATGCACATATGTGCTTTGTCAGAGCTCTCCTTGTCTTTCAGAAAACTTTTCTGCATTGTAGTTTGAGTGTAGGAGAGTATCTTATTGGTGATTGGCAATTAGAAAACTTCCTAGCCTCTTAAATAACTCCCCTCACCAGTATTTTCTCTGTTCAGGACTTCATATATGAGGATGAGCTCAACAATTTTGTTGAGACCGGTGCGCTGTCTGAATTGATTGTAGCCTTTTCTCGTGAGGGTCCTTCAAAGGAGTATGTTCAGCACAAAATGGCAGAGAAGGTACATGAAATGATCCTTTTTGTTTAATATAAGGTGTAGTGTTTTATTTCCCTTTTTCACCATTGCTTTGTAATATTCCCAGGCTCCCGAGATTTGGAGCATCATTTCTCAGGGTGGTTATATTTATGTCTGTGGTGATGCAAAGGGCATGGCAAGAGATGTACACCGCACACTACACACCATTGTGCAGGAACAGGTATTGTTTGGGTATATCATTACCTTTGGTACCTGTTAGATTCAGTTAATTCTTAGTGGGAGGATGCAGTGGTGCTCTACCTCTAGAAAGTTTGCACTTTCTTGATTGAGGTCAAAACAAATCCAGAACTCTGTCCCTTAGTATTTATCACCTAGCCTAGCCTCTTTCTAAGCAGGCATTATGAGTAATTATGTGAAGTGCCATGAAAGCTCTTTAGAGTTTAACAGTAGCTTTGCTTTCATCTCCACTTTGCTGAATGTTACCTTGAATTTTCAGGGTTCTTTGGACAACTCAAACACAGAAAGCTATGTAAAGAGCTTGCAGATGGAAGGGAGATACTTGAGAGATGTCTGGTGACAAGCCATCCTCGCAAATCCACCCTTGTGTCTCTGCCAAAATGTAATACTTCCATAAATACAACAGTATGCGTTCTGTAGGGAGTTAGTGAAACACCTAAATTACATTGGAGAAAATAGTACCTGATTGCAGGCTGTGGTGGTAGGAATTATACATGGGCTGTAGTATTTATCAGATCTGTATGAATCATAGTAAGATTGTTTAAACATATATATATATATATATTTATATATATATTCATATTCATATATAGGACTGCAGCCTATTTAGTTGTTTAATTATTTGATCAAGAAATCATGCATACATTGCTGTGATTTCTGAGACTGAACCCAAATAAAACAGGCATTTGCCATTTATCACCTGAGACATCGCTATAACTTATCAATCTGCACTTGTTCTAGTTTAGTTGCGATTTTTTTCTCTGCCATATATAAATATATATGGATGCTCTGAGCCCCCCAAGATTGTTCTAAAATAATGGGGCGATATATACATGTAACCTGTCATTCTACCAGTTGGAGGTAAGGAACAAGTTTTGTCAGGTCAATGAAGCATGGTGCCGGCAGTAGCCAATGCTGCTGAGTACATCTCCACTGCAAACCCAACATTGACCGACTGAAAAGCTCCATTGATTGATGCATATATAGTACTTCAGTTGTTCATCTCTCCTAATAGCTTCGACGTGTCGATTACCAACAGCTTACAAACTTTTTAAAAAGTGACATGCTTAATTATGCTTATCCTTTCACTTGCGTCGGTGACATATGTGCATGCATTTGTTAACCCAGAAGGCCAGAACCGGTCGCATCAGAATTGCGGCATATGAATCATATGGTCACTGCGAGTGAGTAGTAATTAAAGTTGACACGAAAAATACACAAGAGTTGTTAGCTATGTTGTGTCACCAATACCATGCTTGCGTTACAGAGCTCATACATTCAGCTAGCGCTAGTAGTGATCTCCATATGTGGAGTGGCCACTAAGTAGATCTACTATATCGAGTACCACCACTATGTGAAATCCTGCATGTCGGCCATATTCATACATGCTGCATTGTATAATACTTCCATCTCCAGATTTAATTATATGTAGTACACTCGATAGTTAATTATGTTTTGAGACGGTAGCAGATATTTCAATTGTGACTGCTTCCCTGCAGATCATGATGTATTTTATATATGCACTGCCGTTGTTTCAAACAGTAGTATGTATAGTGCGAGTACTGCTGCTGAATGGGGCCTGAGAGATTGATCAATCAATCGACTAGCGGCTACTGATCATGTAATCACTAGTACTATATAGTAAGAGTAGCTACGACATATCGAATAGAAAGCATATAAGTTAACACCTGTATAGTTAGCTATAGGTAGCAAAGCTGCATGCATGCGTGGCCTTTCTCAGGAAGGGACACAACTGAATATCTTGGATCCCTGTCATGCACATGCATCTTCACTTCCAAACGTTCATGCATTCACTTTCCGAGTGCTTGTCGTCTCCAGGAAATGGATATTCATCTATCTTTTAGCCAGGGGCGATTCTAGTGTAATGACCGGTGTCGAGCGATACCGACGACTTTTAACAGAACCTATAACCAAACTGCTTATCCATATATTATAACACTATGATTTAAACATAATTAGTATACTATGACACCAATAGACACGTTATGACACCAACGAATCAATTTTCTAGTTCCGCCACTGCTTTTAGCCCTAATGTCATATTTAGCCCCGTTATTTCGTTTATACTTATGTTTATCCATATAACTTATCAGCAACTAATTTAATTTATGGATAATACATTTATATATGTACGTGGATGCACTGTCTATATGAATGGTTCTATAAAACATTAATTTCTTTCTTGACACTATATGTACGTGGATACTTTCTATAAGCTCCCCAAGATTGTCGATGTGAAAATCATGGGACAACATAACCTGCCATTCTAGCATCGTTTGGGATCGGAGCTAAGGAATTGAACTCTAGTTTTGGCAGGTCAATATGATCAGGTCAATGATAGATGCTGACTACATCTCCACTGCAAACCCAACTTTTTTTTTGACACGCTGCAAACCCAACATTGACTGACTGAAAGCTAGCTAGCGGATCCCTTGACTGATGCACATGCATGCATATATTAGATTTTGTTCATCTCTCCTGCTCCCTCCGTTTCACAATGTAAGATTTTCTAGCATTGCCCATATTTATAAAGATATGAATGAATCTAAATATTCATATGTGTCTAGATTCATTAATATCCATATAAATATGAGCAATGCTAGAAAGTCTTACATTATGAAACGGGGGAAGTAGCTTGGACCTGCCGATTTGTTATACAAGCGATAAATGCTTAATCATGCTTATCCATTAATCGATCACTAGCTTGCATGCGTCGGTGACATTTATACATGCGTGTTACTGTGTAATTAGCTAGGCCCAGAGATGGATATCGATCGAGCCGGTGCATCGATATCGATCAGTAGCAAAGTTGACACTTGAAAGTAGAATAAATATGAATGCAATGCACACGGTTATTTCACGTCATCGCTTGTGTCACCATGCTTGCGTGACAGTGCTCATGCATGCAGCAGCTGCTCCCAGCTATAGTTGTCACAAACTCACAACCTACTAGCTAGTGACGATGAAATGATGCATCAGCATTATTCACCAATTCGATCGATCAGATCATATATATATATATATATATATATATATATATATATATATATATATGCATGTGTATATATTAGTTATATACTTCCTCCGTTTCATAATGTAAATTATTTTAGCATTTTCCACATCCATATGAAAGTTAGTGAATCTAAACACATATATATATATCTAGATTCATTAATATCTATATGGATGTGGAAAATGGTAGAATGAGTTACATTATGAAACGGATGAAGTACTCACCATATGTGGAGTAGCAACCTAGCTGCACTATGTGAAATCGTGTCGGCCATTTCATCCAATTCTCGCATGCATTTCATAATTGCATGGTAGATATTTCAGATGTGACAGCTCTTGCTAGCTACAGTAGCTGCCCTTGCAGATCATCTGATCATGTGACCATGCTGCGAAAAGAGCAAAAAGGAAATGGGAATTTGCTTAATTATACCTCTCACGCATGGACATGAGTCCATTAATCCATGCCGTTCTTTCAATAGTACGACTTGCTGCTGAATTGGGCCTGAGAGATTGATCAATATCAATCTTTGGCTACTGATCATGATGCCAACAGTTGTAAGCTAGATATATAGCTAGGAGATATATATGTCGAATAATCCAAAGCATATAAGTTAAAAACATGTATAGTTAGCTATAGGTAGCAAAGCTGCATGTATGCATGGCCTTTCTCAGGAAAGAGGCACAGCTAGCCCCCACATCTGATTATCTGAATATCTGGATCCCCGTCACTCACATGCAGCTTCACTTCCAAAATGTTCATGCACTTTCCCACCGCATGTCTCGTCTCTAGCTATCTTGCATTATCTACATAGTATCTTTTTCACCTTACCTAATTAAACACTGCATATGCATTTTCATTTTTCAACTCTTGATTTCTTCATCGATCAGCTGGTCTTAATATCAGCTCGTCTTGTAAAACATTACTTTTCTGTTCTAAGATATAAACTCTTTTGTGTTTTTTTAAAATATATATTTGAATATTTCTTCGTTCAGATATATTTAAAGAAATGTGTCATAGTATTTTGGAGCGGACGAAGTAATAATATAGTACACGTCGGTGGAGCTAATTACTCAAACGTTGAATTTTGAATAATATAATAATTTTAAATTTTTTTGAATAAAACGAGTGGTTAAACGTTGCAAGCAAAAACTCAAAATCCCTTATATTATGAGACGGAGGGAGTAACTAGCTAGCTGACAGATGATCAATGCAATGCATGTGCAGACAAAGTATAATCACTTTAATTAGTCGTGATCAATCAATCAATCTGAATCTGTCGATGTATATATGTCAGAATCAGATGAGTTGTACAGTGAAGCATCCTGCAGCAGCTAGCCTGATGACAAGTGGCGCGATACTGTAAGAACCCGACAAGGAACTCTCTCTTTATATAGAGGGCTCACATGGCCACACCCACCATTTGTACTTAACTTGGCTAGCTTAATTAGCTCTAGAAGAAGAAGAAGAAGAAGAAGAAGACACTACTCACACACAATCTAGTTAGCTAGCTAGCTAGGCCAAGAAATCAAGAGTTGTTGGTTGGTCTAGCTATCAATGGAGAGCGAGCCGGCGCAAGTCCACGGCGGCGTCAACCTCAACCTGCGCGTGCTGGAGACCTCGCCGCGCCGGCGTTCGGCCAACGGCGGCGGCGGCGGCGCTGCCCCGGCCGCCGCCGCCGCCGTCGACCCACGGGAGGCCTTCTCCTGCAACTACTGCCACCGCAAGTTCTTCAGCTCGCAGGCGCTGGGAGGCCACCAGAACGCGCACAAGCTCGAGCGCACGCTCGCCAAGCGCAGCCGTGACATCGTCATGACCGCCGCCGTGTCGCCGTCGCCGTCGTCGTCGTCGTCGTCCCGGGCAGTCCACGGCTTCGACGGCGTCGCCGGGGGCTTCTTCTGGACGGCGCCGCCGTACGGCCACGCCGCGGCGGCTGAGGCGGCGGAGGAGGATCACGACGTGGCGCCGCCAGCGCCGCCACCGGCCGACGGCGGCTGCGGCGGCGGGCGCTACGGCCGGAATGGGGAGGAGATCGACTTGTCGCTGAAGCTCTGAGCTAATTAACCTGATTACGTATATGACGGCTTAATTAATTAATTAATTAATTAATTAATTAATTAATCAAATCGTGATGAATCCATGCATATGTCGTAGGTAGCTAGCGTTGGATCGAGTACTTGTTGCGTCTCTGGAACCGCGATTGATTGATTTCTAGTGCAATTGTTTGATCGGCTAATTCATATATATAGCCCTGATCTTTGAGAGAGAGATATATATAGTTCAATAATATACATCTCATTAATTCAGTACGTAATTGATCTCCTTGATCGATCTGTATACATGTTTGGATGAGCCTATGCTTAATTAGGTACCCCAGAGAATATATAAATTGTGTGTGGATTAATCCTTTGCATAGTATGTCTTTGTGTTCTTGTATTGGATCAAGCTGTGTTCATCATGTGTTTGAGTGTTTCTTCCTTTTCATCCTAGCAAGGAGAATTTGCCTCTTTTTATTGTTCTAAGAGAATGACCAGAAGCTTTACTATATGCACTAAAACATATATCACGATCAAGCCGAATTTATCTCGACATTTCGTGCGTCTCATGGTTTTTTAATCCTTTACTTAGTTACAACTCTTAAAGCATCAGGGTTTTCCCCCATTTTTTTCTTGTTTAAAATTAGTATTAGCAGCTAGTAGAAACTAGTACATGCATGAATCTAGCTATCTGCCCATTCCCACCAATTAACAACGATCTATCTCAAATGACCAATCAATCACAAACAAAATAATAATAATAATAATCAGTAATATAGTAAGGTGATAGAATAATATCATCATAGTAAGGTGATCAGTCCAAAAAAGTTAGTAAGGTGACCAAGCTGCATGCTGTTTGAGTGCAGCTGTAAGTACTGTTCAGTAACAATGTATATATCCTTTTTCCTTGGGATCTTGCATACTTGAAATGAGGTTCTTTCCAGTTTAATTTAACTTGGAAATTGCTTTATCTGCTGCAAGAGTCTTTACCTTCTACTCCTAATTACTGCTAACGGCAATTAATTAATTAGCTACCAGCTGCTAGCTAGCTATACTGCTGATTCATTAGAATCATCGATATATCAACACGTAAGTATGAGCTCAAGATTAAATCAGCATGCAGCAAGATGAATTAATTGATTGATTAGATGTTTACTGACCCAACAACAAACCCAACCACAGAGCGTCATAGTGCATGTATGCTTTGTTGACACACAATTACTCTTTCGACACAAAGTCCTCCTGCTGCACGCATCCGGTATGATCAGCTGTAAACTGCAACTTAACTGGGGAACATGATTAAACCACTGTTGCGATGATATGACGTTTTTTCAAAGATGCTTTTTAGTGTGTGATCAGACTGATCGATCGATCTATGGATGCAGCTGCTGGAGTAGAATCGATTTGACTTAACTTGTTCTGCGACGACGAACCTGCGCATAATGTCGTCAATGATAAGCATAGTTGATTAACTTGTGATCACGACAAGTAATTAAATTTGCTCGTACGTCGGTCGCAGCTTGTCAGGACATCGTCCAGTTAATTTATGGAACAAGATCAGCTAGCTGCCCAGGGGAAATGAAGTTTGCATTGTCTGCAACTGCAATTAAAAACGCATTATCTGTTTATTGAAGAACAGTTGTTCTCGAACTCCTTTAAAAAAAATTCCTTTCTGTTGGCGATCTCTTGCCCATGCATATATACACAAGATGCAAGAAATGCAAGCAACCGATCGACCCAACTAGCTAGCTATTGTAACTATATGAAAATGGTTCGTCTATCTGCAGCTGAAATTAATTGATTGAGCTAGCTAGATACACGTATTTAGGTGTAGTTAGATGACAAGACGATTTAATGGCGTGTGTTAGTGGCTATTTCCTAAGCTAAGCAAAAGCTAATTAAGCTAAGGTAAGGTAGCTTCTTCCTGCTGAACAAGTCAGTGATCAAGATCTCTTAACATGATGAGTATACGCAGTCATGTGAGCTAACACAAACACGAGAGAGGATCAGAGTTAGCTAGCTGTGTGCCCTAGCTGCCACCCGAGTGTATCACCCATTCGGAGCAAGAGTCCAATTAATCCGTACCCACGGATGACGAGGAGAATCGATCGGTCATGCACGCATGGTTGAATTCAATTAATCTCTGCAGTCCAGATTATTGATAGATAGCCAGCTGCTTTGCATCAATAGATGTTGACGACGACTGATCGCTGATGGATCAGTAGTGTAGATCGATTTGTAGCTAGTTACTGATTACTCTAGACTGTGTTTAGTTCAGCGTAAAGTTTAAATTTTGGTTGAAATGAAAAATGATGTGATTGAAAAGTTGTGTGTGTGTGTATAACAGGTTGATGTGATGGAAAAGAACTGAAATTTGGATCCAAACTTTGAATCTAAACACAGCCCCAGTTCACTTGAGCACCTCTAGCAGTGATTAAGCATGCGAAATCGCCCCTTTCGTAGTAGCTGCAGCATCAGACAGGCTGCTGAACTTCTTTGCTTGCATGCTGCAATGTGTCAGATGACATGAGAGATGAGACGAGATGATCAGGAGATTTTCCTTTTTCAAGGTGAACCTACTCTCTCTATTTATTTAACACTAAAAGTTCTTTAAGCATGAATTATATTTTCTTATGCTTATATAAAAATTTTAAATAAGAAGGATGATCAAACATGTGTAAAGGAATCAACAACGTCATATATTAAAAAATGGAGATAGTGTTAAAAGGAAAAGGCTATACGTACTAACTTTTTCTTACTAAATTCTTACTAACAGTGATGTGTCATGCTATGAGTGCATCTAGATTTTTAATAACTTCCATCTACCTAAATCAAACGGTTGAGATGATTGTTAGTAAAGATTTAGTAAGAAAAAATTAGTACGTGTAGCAGTGCTCGTGTTAAAAGGGAAAAAGAAGAACAATTAACTATTTGCCACTCTTACGAGTGGTGCAGTGGTGCTAAATTATTTACCACTGGACCCACATGTCATACAGCGAGTGACAAATAATTAATTGCCATATTTTAAAAGTTGCAAGAAGTTAAATGTCTCGGAAAAAGAAGTCGACCTAGCTAAAATAGGAGGACTACGGCCCATTTCATGCAGTCCATTTGCCTACTAACTGGGCCAGTCAAATTGGCCCACGCTAACCTGACCGTGGGCCAGCATGCTGGTCGCAATGGAAACTGCATGTAGCCCGGCCCGTTACGGGAGGCCTGGTTGGGCCGTAATACTGTGAGTTGGGTGGGCTGCGGCGACGTGTAGCAATTCTCCAACCTGCTTTCTCACAAAAACTAGCTAACTAGTTTCTTGTCAGAAATTAGAGGTGAATGAGGTAGGTCTATCTGTACTTGTATTTGCTAATTACAAATTATAAAAAAAGTTTTCTGTTTCTGAGTCTTAAAAGAGAAAAAAAATAATAAACACGCCCAGTGGGACTCGAACCCACAATCGCCTGATTAGAAGTCAGACGCCTTATCCATTAGGCCATGGGCGCTTCTATGTCTAAATGTGAATAATACTCTTATCTATAATCATACTCCAGATCCCCGAACCAGTCAAAGTGTTTTACCAGAATTTACAGGTCATTTTTGTCAGTAATTAATTTCAAATGCGTTATAATCTGAAATGGTTCTGTGTTCACATAAAGCGTGAATCTCTTGGAAGATCAGAACAATTGTGGCCGAAGAAAAGCCTAATGATGGAGTTTCACGACAGTAATTGTTGTGAGATGACGGCAGATGCTCAAAGATTGAGATAGCCAAGTTCGACTCTTTGTTGCTGCCAAAGTAAATTTCTCTATGCAGGCTGATGTCTTCTAGAGTAGCTGCATTTGTAGCAATCCATGTAGTAACTAGAAGCAAAATAAACAGCTGTGATCAATTTATGTCTATTCAGGTTTCAGCTCCAAATTACATAACTACTCCCAGTCCATAGTATCCCTATCTTCAGTTTCTAAACCTCTCCCAGCATCCGGAAGAAATGGCTCATTTACAGCCTGTTGCTTGCGAGGATATGGCATAGGGAACTTCCCTGGTCGTTTCAGGTTTCCATTTAAACCTGCACCCAGCAAAACAAAGGGAAATGTGTTAGTGCAAAATAATTTACACATATATGTGCTTAACCATTTACACATAATTCAACAAGTTTTCATTCTATTTCAAGAATGCAAAAGCACCTACAATGGTCTGCTATATATCTCTCTTGGCAGAAATCTTGTCGATGTTTTCATTTCCAACCATCTCGTTCAATGGCTCATTTGTTTTATGAGCGTTTTTTGATACAGCATGCACCCACAGCAACATTTTCTTTTTCATCTGAAGGCAATGTGAAAGCTAACATTCCCTTGCATTTAACTGGCTACATGTGCCATATGGGCTTGCATTTCATGATTTGTTTATCTAGAACCATACTCTATAACTAATCTGGCAGCTTAATGAATGAATGAATGACGACTAAAAGTATACCTAGCCTCACACTAATGTTGTCTCAACTAGCAGTCTAGCTAACACTAGCCTCCAACTAACAGCCGACTAAACTAGCAAGTCTAGCTAGCAGCCTAGCACTATAGCAACAGCCACATACATATATGTGTTCAAATATATCAGCAAACACAACAATACGAATCAGGTTTACTATCAATTGATCCAAAGGTTTGGCCAGAAGAAAAACAAGTAGAAAGAATAGCCAGGGAATTAATCACCTGAAGAAGGGGCGGAATATCGGAAGATGGTAGACTGCGTGTAGCAGACATCAAAGTAGTGGAGGATTCTTGCAGCGTCATACACTGATACTGCATCAAGCCTTCTGTTGGCCATGTCAATAGACAGCAGCACAGCCTTTTCATCGGATTCGTTAACCTTGCCCATGACATAAACAACCTGAGCATCAGTCAAGCTGAGAGTGGGAAGAGCAACGTGGAGTTTAGCCATGGTAGGTTGCCCCTGTATCTTAGGCAAGAGCTCAACGTTGCAGATGTTGTGGTCGATTAAGATGTCAGAGGCCTCGACCAGAGAGTCCTCGCGCCAATCCTCCTGCTCCAAACAATCCACTGCCCTGCTCCATGTGGACAGATCCCAGTCCCAACCATTGATATCTGGATCAAAGACAGTGGTGAGCCTGACGACGGTGAGGCGGCCATTGACGACAGCAATGTCCCTGGTGATCGACGATGCTCGGGTTCTGCGGAGGTTGATGATCTCCTTGAGCATCGGCACATAGCTTGCAGTTTGAGTTTTGGTGTCAAGTATGTCACAGATGATGATGCCCCGCCAGAGATCAACGAAGGCAACCAGATGTGGATCGTTGATGAAGGTGATCACCTTCTCCGTGATATGGAGCACCTCGTTTTTGTCAGGCGGATTGCGCAGCTGATCCAGAGAGAGCGATTCATGGCTCCATTTGGAGTTGGTGGAGTCGAAGAGGCAGAGGTTGTATCGCCCAATCCCACTGCGGAGATCCGTGTCGAGCGTGGAGATGTAGAAGCCATGGGAGGAGCGGGGGATGAGCGCGATGCAGTTGGGCTCGTGCAGGTAAGGATCTTGGCTGGGCATGAGCGTCAGCGATGGCAACATGGATGCCTGGTAGACGAGGTCGTGGACATGGTTGAGCGAGACGTGGATGCGGAGGAGGAGGAGGTCGGCGTCGACGGCCTCGACGGTGGGCTCCGTGTCGAAGAGCTCGGCGGGGTGGGTGGTGGGGGACCAGGCGCAGATGTAGGAGACGAGCGGCGGCGGCGCGACGCAGATGGTGACCTGGATTTGGTGGCCGCCGTTGCTGAGCATGGCGGTGGCGGTGGTGGCGTTCCGGCGGTCGGCGATGTAGGCCTGGACGTCGACGAGAATCCAGTCTGGGTGACCGCCATCGCCATCGCCATCGCCGCCGCCGTGGCAGGGCGGGCGCAGTGTGAGATGCTTGGTTTTCCACAAGCGGCGGCCCTTCGCCATGGATGCCATCATCCGTCTTGCTCGATCTCCGCGAGAGAGCCAGATCGATCGATCTAACCCACGGAAGGAAGACGATGGAAAGGAGGGAAAACTGCGGCCCTTCAGCCCACAGGCTAGAAAATTACCGGCCCACCTTAGCCCACAGCCAACAATATCTCTTTCGAAATTCAAACGATTTTTTTTGGACTTACTGTAATTCGTTGTCTTACTTTTTTTTTTAATAAAAATAATAATAAAATTTATTCCGATCTTTGCTTAAATAAAGTAACATCTAATTATTGCATATGTTATAGGACGAATAAATAATTTAATTAAAGGCATAAAAACTACTTAATATACCACCTCAAAGACTTATATTTCTATCTATTGTTAGCTAAGCTATATGCATAACCCTTCTTTCTAACAACGGATTAAAAAGTTGAATCTCCAAAAACGATTCTCGGAAGATCAGAGCGATTGTGATCGAAGAAAGCCTAATAATGGAATTTCATGATAATTGTCTCCTGTGAAGTGTGGCAATCGGCAGCCATCAAGAACAGCCCAGCTAGAGTAACCCGAGATCGAGAAAAACAAAACGAGATGGAACTGAAATGTGAAATCGTACGATATATGTCACGTCCTGATAAATTCATCCCAAAATAAAAATTATTTTCTAAAAGGAATAATAGAATTAATTAAAATTCGAAAAGAAATTGGCAAACACTAAAATGCGTACAAGAAAAATTCGAATGTGGCCCGGGGAATTTTTGTTAAATTCTCCTTGGTCTAAAAGGAGCCCTTAAATTTTACTTGAATTTTCAGAGCACCGGAAATAATTATTAAGCAACAAAAACAATTATTAGAGTTTATTAAAAAGAAAAACCTAAAAATAATCTCTCTCCCCCCCTTTGGGCCAAGTCTGGCCCAAAGTCCTCCTTCTCTCCCCTCGGCCCGCGGCCGAAGTCTCCCTCTCCTCCCTCTCCTTCTCTCCCTCCTCCTCTTGGGCCCCTCTTCCCCTCCCGGCCCACTCCCTCCTCCTCCCTCTTTCTCCCAGGCCGCCTCCCCCTCCTCTCCTCCTGGGCCGGCCGCCCGGCCCAAGCCGCGCCCAAGCCAGGCCGAGCCGAGCCGGCCGTGCACACGCGCGCCGCGCGTGCGCTGACCGCGCGTCCGGCCGCGTGGGGCCCGCGCGTCAGGCGGGTCATCGTCCTCCTCCCGCCCGGCCGTCCTCTCTCCCTCTCCCGTGAACCCTAGCGCCATTCCTCCCTCAAATCCGCGCGATTCAAGCATGGGATTCCCAAATTGATTAGGGGGAATTAAACCCCTTTCCCTCCTCTCTCTTTCCCCCTTAATTCCCCCTTGAATGGCGCCCCCAATCGCCGGGAACGGACGCGCCAAGTCCGGCCGCCTTCCTTTGCCGCCGGCCGCCATTCCCGTCGCCGTTCCGCCCTCTCCCGTGCTCGGCTCGCTTCCCTCCGCTATAAAATGCAACCCCCTCGCTCCGTTCTATCGTTTTAGCCCCCTCCCGCGATCTCCCGTGGTCCCTAGCCCTCTCCCCGCCGTCCTCCTCTCTCTCCCGTGCCGCCGGCCGCCTCCAGCCGCCTCTCCCTCCTCGCCGGAGCGTCTTCCGGTCGTGCCGTCGCCTCCTCCAGCATAGCAGCTGCCTCCCCTTGCCCGGCTTGCCCTCCGTTTCCCGCGGAGACCCCCGGAGCTGCGTTCCCGCCGTCGCCCTTCCCTTTCCTCCGCGTCGGCCGCCTCCAGCCGCCTCTATCTCCCTGCCTGAGCGCCGGTCGACGTCGCCACCACCTCCCTCGGCTCCGCGACGCCGCCCTCATCCCCGGCATCACCTCCTCCTCGCCCGAATTTCGCCGGAACACCGTCGCCCGCGCCGGCTTCTCCTTCCTCCTCGGCGGCATCTCCTCCGGCTGCCCCTTTCGCCATGCCCGTGCGTCAGCCGGCGCTGCCGTCCCCTCCCTCGGCACGGTGACGTAGCCCTCCACCTCGTCCACCCCTCGGTTTCGCCCGGAAGCCGCCGCACATCGCCGCAAACCTCTCCATCCGCCTCGCCGGAGTTGTTCGGCCGCCCGTCCCTCCTCGCCCGTGCACCGGTCGGCCACACCTCCACCACCTCCGGCATCGCAGCGGCAAGGTCGTCCTCGGCATCGTTTCCCCTCCATCCAAACCCCTCCGCGGTCCATCAGCGTCGTCTCCGATCGTTCTCGTCGTCGACGTCCCATCGGTCGCCCGGCTCGTCGTCTCGCGGCGCCGCCTCCGTCGTCGGCATCGCAGCGGCGTGGTCCGCGCCATCCTCGCCTCCGTGCAGCCGCTGCCGGCAGCCCTCATCGCCTCCTCGCCGGCCCCGGTCGTCGTCGTCGTCGTCGTCGTCCTCTCGTCGTTCCCGGTCGTCGTGGCGTTCGTCCCTCCGTCAGGCCGTTCTCGTCCGTCTCGTCCGCGTCCGTCAAGTGTGCCGCTGCAGCCCCGTCATCGTCTTCGTCCTCGGCTCCGCGTCGTCAAGCCTCGTGCCGGCCGCGTCTCGCCTTCGTCCAAGGATCGCCGCCGAAGCCGTCCCCTCGCCGTTCGTCTCCGTTGTGCCCGTCTGTCTCCGCCGCGCCCGTTCGTCGTTGTCGTTCCCACGCCTCGTCGCGTGGTGGTAAGGTTCCCTCTCCCTCGCTGCCCCGTCCTCGTCCTTTCGGTGTCCCCCGTACCCGTTGTGCGGTTGTCGACCCCGATACCCGTGTACCGGTGTCGGTAGTCGTTCGCTTGTGCGTGTGGTGACCGTGTTAGTGTGCCCGCTCGGTAGCCGCGTGGTTTCCACGTGTGCAGCCCGTGTGGTGTCTAGTGGAGTCCGTTTGTCGGCCACTCGCCTCGGTTGACACACGGGGTCCGCTTCCGTCGACCCGTGGACCGTCTCTGTGTACCCGGTCTACCGCGGTCCTTTAGGTTGACATGTGGGGTCCGCATGTCAACGGCGCAGCCTTCCTGTCTTTTCCAGGCTAGCGCTTACACCTGTTTTATAGTTGCAAAACCTAATTACAATAATCCGCAAATCTCCATATAACAGCATTAAACTTCGGATGATCATATCTTGGTCATACGAGCTCTGAATCGACCCGTTCAAGTCTCCTAATGTTTGTATAACCTAAAGAACCGTGTGCTTTCTTTTTATGTATTGTTATTGCTTCTTTTTAGGCTTGTAGCTTTGCTTGTGTGCTTCGCGTAGTCTTCGTCGTTCCGGAGGTTCCCGAAGCGTGGTTCGCGGCCGTCGCCGAAGGTTCGGAAGGCCGTTCTCTCTGAGCAAGGCAAGTCACATCATCCTTGAGCATATTGAATCCCAGTTTATAAAATTATTTTGATTTAAATTAATGCATTATCGTTTTATTCCCGCGTTATCACTGTTTTATTTAGCCATGCCTATTTACCTTTGTTAAGACATTATTATTGCTATTGTTATTATTACCTTGTTCACCCTAGAATAAACAAAACCCCAACTAGTGGGTACTCTATTCATGGTTCCACTAGTATAAATTTAGGTAGATGCTTCGCTGATTAATTAGGCAACATTAGGTGATTTTATAACTTTAGACTTTGGGAATTCTCATATCATTTGGACACTATGGAATGGTTGGCTTATGGTGGAATTGGACATACCCCTCTCTTCCTCTTTCAAAGCCCCTAAAACCTGTTTTTCGGTGGGGTTTGGGTGCATGCCAGTTGTGGGAAGTAGCACCCCGGCCACTATAAGGATTAAGCTCGGGCCTCTGTTGCAAAGCACTACCGTACTTCCACATGTCTAGTGGGTAAGGCTTAGTTTGTGGCTCAGTCTGGTTATAAACAAAAGTACACGGATTGGAGATGGATGAAGTCGGGGGTCGATGGACATTCTCCAGGGCAAATGAAGGCTACACGAGCTGCGGCCCGGTAGTCGAGATGTCATGGCACAGGGCTGGTGTCCTGCTGCTAGGGGGCTCAATCCTGCCTGCCTGTCCCGGGGGTTCCGGCCGTAGGTGGGGTTGGGTCGGTACTCTTGTTTATGGCTAGGATGGGTTGGGAACTATGTCACGTCTTCCGTCCGTATACCGTGGTGGTATGTGGCACGTGGTTACACGTGAGGAAGATGTGTCTTGTGGGTAAAGATGTACACCTCTGATCAGAGTAAAACCTATTCGAATAGCCGCGCCCTCGGTTATGGGCAAGCCGAGCAATGTACCCAAGTTAGTGTTTTAATTCTTAAAATTTGCTCAACAACTAAAATGTGGAATGGTTAGCCTGGGTTGGCTTGGGACGAGCTGGGACCCAGGGTCGGGTTGCCAGTTCGGTCTGAATCATCGTAGGCCTTGGGTTAAGGCAGGTTCGTGAGGGTTCACGGCCTTGATTAATAATATTGTATAGCTCTAGGATCGTGTTTACAAAATAGCTTTGGGCAACTAAGTGACTTTTAAATGCTGTTTACTGCAAAACTTAACCCCTATTATTATCCCCTTGTACCCCCTTGCATTAATCATGCATCTGCCGGTGTGACTTGCTGAGTACTGTGGTTGTACTCACTCTTGCTCAATCTTTCCCCTCTTCAGTAAGAGAGGCTTTGGAGAAGATGTCTTAGGTGGAGTCCTGGCTTATACCCCAGTTGAGCGCCTGTGAAGATGGAGCCGTAGGCCCGCTAGTCCGCTGCTGTTTATTTTTGATTGTCAGGCCTGAAGTGCCTTTGTAATAATGTAAATATTATCGATATAATAAAGATGTGTCTTTTATATCATGTTTGTGTGGTGTACCCCGGCTTTTCCTGGGACGGGGATTAATACACTAGCGTTCGGGAAAATGCAAATTTTCTCGGTCGCGACAATATATAAAACTACTAAACTGTTCATTTCTTCAAAATTCTCGAGGTTGGTTCAACTGCAAACAAAATGCACACGATTCACAGCTCCTAAAATGCGTATATTTGAATTACACAAAGGACCAGTTTGGTTTCATCTTTGAGATACACATGGATTACTATATGGCTATTGAATACAATGCAGTGCACAGTAGTGGTTTTACAACAGTTTTTTTAAAGCAGGAAACATCAGCCTCAATCGAAATGATCTGCAGAGAAGTCAGGCTCATCAGGCTTCTGCAGCCTCCGGATGGCGGTATCGTCGGCACGGAAC